TGGGAGGGTCTGGGAAGATGGGAGGGTCTGAGACTGGCTTCTAAGCTGCCCAGGTTTCAGCTAGCCGGTTGCCTTAACCCCTTCTCTGAGCGGCCTGCTGGAACGAATGTCACGCTATTTTTGCATCTTCGATTACCTGGGAAGATGGAAGAGAAAAAGCCCACCTTTCCTGCCTCCTTGGCTGCATCTGCTCTCCTTACACCTGACGGTCTTGAGGTACTGCCAAGGTTCTCATCCATAGGCTCCATTCCAGACGACGCTTCCCTCTCTTCTTCATCACTGAAGAGCAAAGGTGGTGCCTCAACAACTGTTTCCTTTTTCTACCAAAACAAGAAGAGTAAATGACATTCTGAAAAAAATAATTGTACCTCACTGGAATGACAATGTGAAGATTAAATGAAAACCATTGTCCTCCTCAGGACACTGACTAAATGTGGTACGAAAGCAAGGATATTGAAGTGGATGCAGGTACACGCATGTGTGCATGGGCAAACACAATTCCAAACAAGCAACAAGAACAAAAAATCAAATTAGAATATATGATAGAACTCTGTAGTTGCAGAGATAAGGCATCACCATTTCTGCCACCATCTTCCACACACGTCCCCATCTTTGTCAAGCCCAATGGTATGTGTCACGTCTCTTTCCCTCCCACTCCTGGCATTTCAACTATTCATGTTAGACTTAGCCATTGGTGCCTTGCTAATATAAACATCTACTGTATAACTTCATTATAAGCCTGAATCTACACCATCTGCAATAAACATTAAACACTAAAAACATGGTAATTGACAGACACTCACTACATCTTTTATTTCATCTATGTGATACAATTATTACTCCTCACTACTGCTTATACTAATGAAGCTATTTTTGCACTTCAAGGCTTGCTCTGTTTTATAGAAATAAATATTCCTCATCTTTCAAAGGCCAGCTCAGATGTTGTCCATGAAAGTTTTCCTGCTTTTCCTAGAAGCTCTGAGCTCTAATGATGCTGAGATTAAAGTAATTGGCAGTTCGAAACTACCAGTTGCTCTGTGGGAGAAACTGAGGCTGTCTGATTCCATAAAGATTTACAGTATTGAAAACCCAGTGGGGCTGTTCTAGTCAGTCCTATAGGGCCACCAAAAATTGCAATCAATTTTGTAGCAGAAAGGATTTTTCAGGTTTAAGTAATTATTAGCTGCTTCACTGATGAGCATATTTTTATTTTACTGGGTCTCCACTTTCTTCAGGACTTAGTATCACAGGTGTGTTTTTTTTATTTGCTTGAAAGAATCATGTTGTATATTTCCATGCCCAATGGCAATGTTTAACAGGTGCACAAAAAAGTTTCTAAGCACTTTAGCCCATCTTCTCTACCTCTTATCTGTTGTTATGTGCTTCCAGTCGCCTGTGACCCACAGTGACCCAATGTACAACAGCTCTAAAGCCACTCTCTCCTGAGCAAGTCTCAATGACTCAGACACACCTACCCCCATTGCCCTAGTTTCTGTATCAGTCCATCTCATCTGGGGTCTTTCTCTCCTGTGCTGTCCCTCTACCCTTCTGAGCATGATGTCTTCCAAGAATCCATCATCCGGCCTACAAGCCCAAAGTATATGAGACAGAGCTTAAAAATTGTAGGAGGCTGAAATGATCCAAAACAAAGACTAGGATACTAAATCTACCAAAAGTTAGCAGCATTTCTGGGGGAAGGAGTTTACCCATAAGCTCCTGAGAAAAAAGGGATTCTATATTTAGTTCTCATGGCTTAGCAGTATGAACTTGCACTGTAAACACATGTTGGGTCATCTCCTCTGGTGCAATTTACTTTCTGCCTCTGAAAACCAGCTGGAAGTTAGCTTTGAATTGATTCTGACACAATGGTTAGTGGTAACAATAACCACTAACTATGTTAACTAAAATAGAAAATTTGAGGAAATAAGCTTTTAAATTATTTATCAAGTTAGGAAATCAGACTTAGAAACATTTTAAACTGAGATAGAAAATTAAGTACACGGAAACACATTCTCCTTTTATCTTGTTCATTATTAACTACTATACATACAGTAGGTGATCATTCATTCCACATTGTTCTTATCAAAACTTATTCTATTAAAATGTTCATTGTCTATCCACTAATTTCCTAATCTGCCCCCCTCCGGCCATACTGTTTCTCTATATATGTAAACCTTTCTCTAATTTTGCTTGTTTCTATAGTAGTGGTATTTGTCTTTCTGTGACTAAGTTATTTCACTCAGTGTAATGTTCTTTAGATTAGTTCATGTTGTGTAGTTTTTCATTAGTTCTTGTTTCTCAATGTTTCATGATGTCCACTGTGTAAAAGTACCACAGCTATTATATCCATTTATATACTGATGGGTACTCAGGTTGTTTCCATCTTATTTGCTATTGTGATAAGAGATTATGTTATGTTGCAATAAACATGGGTGTGCCTATTATTTGTTCATGTCCTAGCTCTTATGTCTTTATGGTATATTCCCAGTGGTGGAACTGCTTTACCAAATGGCTTGCTCATTCATTTTTCAACTTTCTAAATTATTATTTATTATTAATTTTTATTATTTTATTTTTATTTATTATTATTTATTTTTATTTTTATAATTTTACTAAATTATTATTATTTATACTGGTTTCCTGACAAAGTGTGTATACATTGTTTTTCAAGGAAACTATCTTCAACAGTGGTTGCACAATTTTACAAACCCACAAGCAGGGCATGAGTTAAACTCCTGCCATATCCTTGTCAGTATTTGCTGTTCACTGTCCTGTTGAACTATGCTATTGTTGCTAGGGTGAGATGGCATCTCATTGTTTTCATTGGCATCTCCTGACAGCTCGTGATAGTAAGCACTTCTTCATGTGTTTGCTTTCTGAATGTCTTCTTTAGCAAAATCTTTTCATATTGTCCATTCTCTAACTGGGCTCTTGTCCTTTTCTAGTTTAAGTGTTGGAATTTTCTACACATTTCAGATGAGTCTCAATGATGTCATTGTCAAATATCTCCCCCTAATGTATACTGTGGTTGTTGTTATATGCCATCAAGTCACCTGCAACTCATACATCAAGTCGCCTGTAACTCACAGCAACCCTATGTACAACAGCCCTAAACCCTGCTCTGTCCTGTGCCAATCTCACTTTCACCAACACCATTACCCTGATTACTCCAGTCACTAAATCAATCCACCTCATCAAGGGTCTTCCCCTCCTGCACTGTCCCTCCATCCTCCCAAGCATGATGTCCCTCTCCAAGGATTGGTCCCGCCTTGCAACATGTCCAAAGTATGTCAAACAAAGCCTCAGAATCCTTGCCTCCAAGGAGCAGCCCGATTTAACCCTCTCTGAGATGAACCTGTTTGTTTTCTTATCAGTCCACAGTACATTCAATACTCTTCTCCAGCACCACAGCTCAAAGGCATCAATTCTCCTTCTATCCTCCGTAGTCACTGTCCAATTCTTTGACGCATAAAAAGTGATTGCAAAGACCATGGCCTGTATCAGGGGCACCTAAGTCTCCAGAGTGACACCACTGCTCTTCAGCACTTTGGAGAGGTCCCTAACAGCAGACTTTCCCATCACAATACGTCTTTTAATTTCCTGGATGCTGGTGTCAACAGTGTTGACTGTGGAGCCAAGCAAACAGAAGCTGTGAACAATCTCAATGCCAATTGGTCCTGTGGTGAGAATCTTTGTCTTCTTGACATTGAGCCTCAATCCATATTGAAGGCTGCAGTCTTTGACCCTCAGCAGCAAGCGCTTTAGGTCCTCCTCAGTTTCAGCAAGAAGAGCTGGGTCATCTGCATAATGGAGTTTGTTGATGGATCTTCCACCAATCCTGATGCCACACTTCTCCTCATAGAGCCCAGCCTCTCGGATAATCTGTTCTGCATACAGGTTGAAAAGGTATGGAGACAGGACATATCCCTAGCGTATGCGCTTCCCAATTTTGAACCATGCAGTGTTTCCTCGCTCTCTTCTGACGACTGCCTCCTGTGTCCAAGTATAGGTTTCTCTTTAGCATGAGTAAGTGTTCTGGGATTTCCAACTCGCTCAGCATTTCTTAAGTTCAAGGAACTGAAGAACAAATTAAAATCTCGAGTTGCTATAATCAAGGATGCTTTAGGCAGAGAATATTAAATGAGACAGGAAATATTAAAAGATGGAAAGAATCTACTGAGTCACTGTATTGAAAGGAATTGGCAGACACAGAAAAATTTCATGAAACAACATATGAGCAAGAGCCTATGGTGATGAAGCAAGAAGTTCAAGCTGCTTTGAAGGAAATAGCAAACAATAAGGCCCCAGGAATAGATGGTATACCAATTGACGTATTTCAGCTAACAGATGCTGCCCTAGATGTGCTCACCAAGTTGTGTCAAGAAATCTGGAGAACAACCACCTGACCAACTGACTGGAAGAGATCTATATTTGTTCCCATTCCAAAGAAGGGTGGCCAAAAAAAGTGTGGAAATTATAGAACATTACCATTGATTCACATGCAAGCAAGATTCTGCTGAAGATTATCCAAAAACTATTGGAACAGCACATCAGCAGAGAAATGCCAGAAGTCCAGGCTGGGTTTAGAAGAAGTTGTGGTATTAGGGATATTTTATCTAATGTTAGAGATGGGTCTTAGCTGAAAGCCAGGAATACCAGAGGAATGTCTATCTGTGTTTCACTGATTATGCAAAGGTGTTTGACTGTGTGGATCATAACAAACTGTGGCTGACTCTGAGAAGAATGGGAATTCCTATTGTATAGCTCTCTAAGTCTCTCTTCCTTGAAGAAAACTTTATTGATGCACACAAGGATTTACTTTTTTAGGTCAATTTGACCTATTTCATCTTCTGGTTTTGCATTTTTGGCAATGTTTGAAAGGCTATTTCTGCATAGATTGTTATGTACGATCGAGTCAGAACCCACGACTCACAGCTGACCCTCTGGTGAGTTTTCAGAGGCAGTAAACTGCATGGGAGTAAAGTGCCCATCTTTGTCCTGTAGAGTAGCCAGTGGATGCAAACTGCATGTCTTTGGGCTGGCAGCACAGCTCCTTACCACCATGCTACCAGAGTTTCTAGTGCTTTAAATTTGTTATTTTTTTATCTGATGATATCTATAGTTTTTGGGTTCACCCCTAATCCCCCTAGATCCTTAATCCACTTTAAGTGAGTTTTGGTATGAGGAATGTATCTTATTCGTTTTCTGCAGACATGTGTCCAGTTTTGTCAGTACCATTTATTGAAGAGACTGTAATTTCTCCATTCATGGGTTTTGTCCTCTTGTCAAAGATCAGTTGACCATAAAAGGATGAATTTCT